AAAATTCCTTCACAGATTCCTCCTTGAACTGTACAGCTTTTTCTCAGCTCCAGCACAGACCTGTCCTGTGCACTTGATTCAGGTCTGTCTCATTAGTTTGATCTCTCCCATCTGTTCCCTCTGTTGCTTCCCCGCTGTTGAAATTTAGGTTGCAAACTTTTTCTATCTCGCGCTTGTGTAACTGCAGAAAGTGCCTTATACATAAATAATAAATGTCGCTACTAATGAAACTGAGTTTCAGAAACACAGCACTTTCATATCTGCAGTACTGTTTGTCATGTTTCTTCAGCCAGTCTCACTCTTCTGTTAGTGAACACATTTTCTTTAATATGTATGTAAGGGTTAGCCATTACTAGTAAATGTGACATTTATTTCCTTTATTGCATTTGACACTTATTTCCTTTATTTATAGTCCGTCTTTCTCACTCAAGGCAGATTACGCAGACATGTGACTCCAAAAAACAACTGCTTGGGTGTGAAAGATGAAAAGACCAGGGCATAAAAGTTATGTCTTATGTAAAATAATGTTCCATTTCATTCTTCCTCACATGATGTCTGGTTCTTTTGTAGATAAGAAAGCAGGCCACATCTGATTCACAAGCACTGAAAGCTGAACTGGCACACAAGAAGGTTCAGTCTTCATTAAAACTTTCATCTGAAAAACAAATGCGTTAGCTGGCTCCAGTTTATGACATTCTTCCCTGTATATTTGTACTCAACAGAAACAAATTCTTTCATATGTATATTGTTTAAAATAGTAGAGATTTTGTATGTCAAGCTGACAGGTTGGTAGTTACGTGGATCCTCTTTTTCACCCTTCTTGAAGATGGGGACAACTTTTGCCAGCCCCCAATCTTCTGGCACATCACCTGTTCTCCAAGAATTCTCAAAAATGATCGACGGAAGTTCTAAAATTATCAGAAAATTCCTTTAGTACCCTTGGATGCAATTCTTCTGGCCCTGAGAACTTAAACTAGGTGTTTATGTACCACCCCTATGTTTATGTACCACCCCAATGTTAGGCTGGAACTCCCTTCCCCCATCGTGTTTTTTTTTTTGCCAGATTGAGCACTGTTTCCCTTGCAAGAGAAGACTCCTGTGTTTAGCATGTCTCACTAGCCTAAGCGCATACTGGACTTTAGCTTTTCTAACACTCTCCCTACAAGCACTGGCTATTTGTTTATATTCATTCATTTATATTTGTCTTTACTCAGTTAAATATTTTGTTTTGTCTGTCCTGAATCCATTTCCCATCTGCTTCATTGAGTGTCACTGAATTCTAGTATAATGGAAGAGGGAGAAAAATTATCTTCATCCACTTTCTCTCCACCTCTATTATGTCCCCACCACCACGTCATATTTTTTCTAAACTTAACATTCCCATACTCTGTAGCTTCACCTCACCTCATAGGAAAGGTACTCCAACCCCTTAACCATCTTGGTTGTGAACTTCTGCACTTTTTCTAGTTCTACAATATTCTTGTTAAATCAGAGTGGTCAGAGCAGTACACAGTATTCCAGGTGAGGCAACACCATCGATCTATAAAGGGGGCATTATTCGCCATTTTCATAAAGAGGGTAAACTTCCTACCCTTTCTTTCCTTTAAATTGGGAAGATCTAGAAAAGGAGGAGTGCACAATCTTCAAAGAACTAATTTTAAGGCGCCATAGTGCAAAAGGTTCATTGAACATTCACTGTTGTAAAAATATTTTTAAAATAAGCATAATATAAAATAAAACCCCTTAATTGCTCATAAGTGGCACTATATTTATTTGAAACATTTTAATCTTGCCATCACTCCCAACCAAGGCAGCAAACAGAAAAAATATTAAAACATTTGAACCATTAAAATATATTAAAATATATTAAAAGTATGAAACAGTTCAATAAAAATATACAAACAATACCAGAAACAGAAAGGAAGGTCAGTGACTACTATTGTGGGTATGCCAAACAAAACAAAGAGGTCTTCACTTGCTAACAAATGTCACCAATAGAGGGAAAGAGATGAATCTCCCTAGGGAGGGAATTCCAAAGTTTTGGTGCCATGACCAAGAAAGCCTTTCTCAGGTTGCCACCCATCTAGCCAAAGATGGCAGGTGCAACCAAAGCAGGGCCTCTGAAGATGAACAGAGTGTACAGGTAGTTTCATATGGGAGATGGCGGTCCTCAAGATATGTTGGTCCTAGGCTGTACAGGGCTTTAAAGGTCAATACCAGCACCTTGAATTGAGCCCTGAAGCAAATTGGAAGCCAGTGTAGAAGGGAAAAGACTGGAGTTATATGGTCCCTACAACCCAGTCCAGTCAACACTCTGGCTACAGCATTTGGTACCAACTGTAACTTCTGGATGGTCTTCAAGGGAGGCCCCACCTATAGCACATTGCACTAATCTAATCTAGATGTTATGAGGACATGCAATATTTTTTGATAGTTTGCCAATTATCCTTGTGAAGTTAATTATATTGCACTGTCTCTAAATGAAGATTGTTTTCAGTAGCATTCTCTGAATAAGTTTGCATGTCATAAATAACACATTCATTAGCAAATACTTTTAATTCTGTCTCAGTTTGGTCTGAAAGGGATAAGAGATGCAAACTGAGGAAACCAGGTTTGAATAAACACTGAGGACCCAACTACACAGCATGCTGGGAATTCCATTAACCTGGCAGGCATGCAGGAGCCCAGTTAAGATGGGGAGTGCAGCATGAGTGAAGGGATCTTTTAAGCCATCCCCCCAGTGCCATTTTCCCAATCAAAACTGATCCTGGGGAGTGCTGTTTCCCTGTTGTGAAAACACACTTTAATCTAATAACAGTGACAGAGAAAATGGCAGAAGGCTTAAAAATTCCCTCACATTTTAGGTTGCAGATTCCTGAACTAGGTCATGGAAACTGAATAGTTTGCCAGTGCACTTTTTCTGTCTGCTCACTCCCTTGCAAAAGGAGTATTCGTGAATGAATATAAATGTGCAAAATAAGCAATCAATAAATGTTGCCATTATTTCTCTGTGACTATGAGTAAAACTGTGCCTGGCATCCTTTTGTATAGCTTGGAATTATGTTTTATGTATACTGCGCAGCAGATCTCAATCCCTGAAGTGATATGATTTATCTATGAAAAGCTACCAACAATCAGAATATTTTAACGAGAACCCATTGGAAGAATACCTTCTCTGGTATGATAATACAGTAATAAGGGGAGGGGGACAATATAAATGTTAGCTACATTTCAAGGAGTTATTTTGTGCAGATAGTTATTATTGTATGTCTACAAATTAACTAACAACAAAAAAGAAAAAATGCCAAGTGACAGTTGATTGATTTATAATCATATAAAGCCCCTATGCATTTCACCATGTAGGCTTTGTCACGGGGAATCAGAGCATTCACCTAGTGCTAGAATTTTATATGATGATAACTCAACTATCAGCTGGCACTTTCCCCTTTTCGTTCTGTTGGCACATTGCTGAGTGCAGCCCATTTTTTCTTTATCAGCTTGCCCAAGAATGGAAGATTGGAGACTAGGCAAAAATTTTCAAACATAGTAGGGCTTAGGGAGGTTTCCCCCCCCCCAAACAGCCTAATTGTTGCCTCCTTGAGGATTGATGATACAATCCCAGCCCTCAAGGAAGCACTTAGCACTCCCCTTATCCACTCGGCCAGCCCCCCTCTGAAAAGGTAATAGGTTATCTTGTCCCTCCAAAGTAGTGACCCTGCTGGTGGTGGTCCACCCCCCCACAGGAGTCTAGGATTTATACCAGAACCCCAGAGAGCAATGGTGATGGAAACCTGGACAAGAACTGTTGACTCTATGATGACCTGCTCCAGCAAAGAAACACAGACATCCCACTGGTGAAGTCATAGGTAGCACAGCAGGCCACTGGATGATCTGGCTTGCCCTTCCTTATTAGGCAGGTAGCTTCTACACACCCTCTCTTGGCTGGGGTGTGGAGTGCCCGCAGAAGTCCAGGCTTTATCCCAGGATAGTAATACTTTTGGCACTCCCATCCTATCCTTTCCCAAAAAATAAGTTTCATGGATTTCAAACAAATGTGTTTAGGGTTACTTCTACATAAGGACAATTCTCCACATGGGAGTTTTTTTCACATCCTCAACTCATGCTATCTAATTCTCCCTCCCACCTGTAGAGTGCTATTTGCCCGCTTTTTTGTTTTAAATGGTAGTAGCTATATCTATATTTTAATGACAGTATAGCATTATACCTACTAGTGATAAAAATATTCAGCAAAAATCCCACCAGTAGTGGAGGGGGAATACCAGGTGCAAGAAGAAATGGCACCACGTGTGAACAGGAAGGTGTGGAAAGTTCAGGAAAAATTATACCAAAGTAGGTCTGAGAAAACACACAGCAGAGCCAGGGAAAATCCAGGAGGCAGACACTTGTGCATTTATGTTGTGCAGAAACCCCCAAAAGCCCTGCTGCAATGGGGGGGCATGGAGCAAAACATCTGTGCAGAAGCAACCTAGGACAGCAGGGTGGATGTGGCTTTGAACATCAATGAAGAAGGGCATCCAGGCACTTAACTGATGGTATTTGTATCCTTTGAAAGAGAACTTATGTGTGCTTTTTATGATAGTTGTAGATATGGATAAGTGTAGACAAGTTCTGTGTAGGTGCACAGAGAGGCTTTATTTGCAAGAAATGGTAAAGAGCCAATCTGTCATTTCTCCTAAATAAAGCTCTCACCCACACCTGCACACACAGTCCTCCCTTTTCCTCCCTTACACTGACAATTTATACTTCAAAGATTCATAACTTACCATTCCTTTCCATCTCAACTCCCCCCTGTAATCTTCTCCATAAGAATTCCCCCCTCACGTACCTGAAGAGCTGTAGCTCATGAATACTTACTGAAATAAATGTTGTCAGTCTTTACGGTGCCTCTGCCCTTTTGTTTTATTCTGCTACAACAGGCTAACATAACTATACTTTTGAACTCAACTGAACTATCACTGAAGTCCCTTAACTCCCACGAAACATTCTCGAATCCTACTTGATCTATGAGTCTTGGGGAGGGCAGACTATCCTGACTGGTCTACCGTCCTTGTACAAATGGGCAGTCAAATCCAAACCTAGGTTAACATTATCTTAGTGATCTGACAAAGACCTAATCACTAATTCCCAATTTCGAATCAACATATTCAATAAAGAGATGCAATAAAGGGACGTGTGGTATTCTTCTATGAAGTTCATTGTTGTATTTTATCTACTAGCCTCATGCCCGTGCTTCGCTATGGTATTTAAGTTCCGCAAATCCAGTTATAATACTGATGATGTGAAGTCTGAAATGTAACATTTGTTGTAGGAATTCTAATGGAGAAGATTGTAGTGTAAAAAATGAAGTGAGACATACGTACTTTCCCCCTCTCTGCTGAAGGACCTCTCTGTAGACCACATTCGTGGTTCTGCCCTCAGGTGCTAGGATCACCAGGCTGCTTGGTGACCTAACTCTGGAGCAGGCCACATAGAACTATCCATTTAAAAAGCAGTCGTCTGTTAAGTCAACTCCTGCCACCTTCCATGAAAGTGATGGCCTGTCTACTTGTGTTCCTGGATTGTTTTGCCCATATGGAGACTGTGTTGTTCTGAGCACGTCAGGGTGATCTTGCTGGTACTTGGCTTGTGCAACTCAGTGCACTGCAGGAGTACTA